AAAAATGTGAGCTAATGCAAGCCAATTTCGATAAACTACTCTCTTCGGCACAAACGCTCTCTGACCTACTTGACGAACCGCTGCCAGAGCTAACAACAGAGACGGAAAACTGCAACGCAGGCACTGTAATCGAAAATATGCTCGAGGATGCCACTATGGGTGATCTCGATCCTTGGGGGGATGATGAAACGAAAAGCTTTTACACCGATTTACCAGATTTGCGGCAATACCTACCTAATTTCAGCGCACCAAAAGTGGATTTGGAACAGAATGAAGAGCCCACAGAGATGACAGAGGAGGCACTCGACGCGGATATTGATGTGGAAATGGAAATAGATGATCCACCTTCCACTGCATCAGATCCACCGAATGATAAAGACGCAGAACCGGCAGCTGAACCAGCCAACGAAGAGTCGGCCCCAACAGCGCCATTACCAGATAAAATTGCGAATGCGCTAATGGAAGCAGGGCGCTTAAGTGCTACCCAGGCGCCACATAGCAAACAGCATTTCGATCAGTTTTTGACAAATCTGAATAACTGCGTCAACAAAGAACTCATCGATTCCGCAGCCATTGAGTTTCTGCTGAATTTCAACACAAAAAATAATCGCAAAAAACTTACCAAATCCATTTTTACAGTACAGAGGTAGTAAATTTGCATAAAAGTTGTTAATTTGTTTTTTTAACTGAAAATTATTAAACTTTTTAGAACACGTTTGGATTTACTGCCATTCCTATCGCGTTTCGTCGCCATTGTCAATCTGTGTAACACAGACGTCGCTGTAGACTTGTCGGAAATGTTGCGAAAGGAGTTCAAATGGCACATACGCAAAAAGAATCAGCTCAACATCGAATCGAAAATCAAAATTGTACGCTTCCTGGGTGAAATGGTGAAGTTCGGACTTTGCAAGAAGTTCGATGCGCTGAGCTGCTTAAAAATGTTGCTGCGTGACTTCCAGCATCATCAAATCGAAATGGCATGTGCTTTCATTGAGGTTGCTGGCATTTATCTATACAATTGCCGCGATTCGCGTCTGCTAACCAACGTCTTCCTCGATCAAATGATGCGTCTGAAAACTGCCACCGCTTTGGACTCACGTCACGCCGCACAAGTGGAAAGTGTTTACTACCTCGTTAAGCCACCAGACACGGTAAAGCAAGACGCTGTTGTGCGTCCGGTAATACACGAGTATATACGCCATTTAATATTCGAAGAGCTGTGCAAGCAGAATGTGGACCGTTGCATAAAAATGATGCGTCGCATTAATTGGGATGATCCGGAGGTGAGCAACTATGCCATAAAGTGCATGTCCAAGGCATATTTGTTACGTTTTCCGCACATACGTTGTCTTGCCGATCTGGTGTCGGGTTTAAGTTCATATCAAGAGCGTGCTGTGACTATGGTCATCGATAATGTTTTCGAAGACATACGCGCTGGTCTCGAAATACACTCACCGAAATTAGCACAGCGACGCATTGCAATGGCTAAATATTTGGGTGAATTGTATAATTATAAATTGGTGGAGTCTACGAATATATTGAACACACTCTACTCGATTATCTCACTGGGCGTGTCAACTGAGGAGGGCGTTTATTCAGAATTAGATCCACCAGATAGTTTATTCCGTTTAAAGTTGGCCTGTATGCTGCTGGATACGTGTGGTCAATACTTTACCAGTTCCATGAGTCGTAAAAAGTATTATTTGGTGTACAAGAAAAATTATTTTCCACTACAAAATCCTTTTTGTTTTTTTTTAGGCTTGACTACTTCCTTGTGTTTTTCCAACACTACTACTGGTACAAAAAGTCTCACCCGGTGTTTAGTAGAGTGGAAAATACGGCGGACTTATTTCCCATATTAGTAGATCACATGTACCGCGATTGTGTGGCAAATGTGCGACCAAAATTAAAGGTATACATATTATGTGAAGAATCGGTGAAAAAATGTCAATAAATCTCTTAATCTTATTTGATTGCAAGCTCTACAAAAATCTCGACCAAGCCAAGGAAGCGATTGAGAAATTGAAGGAAGAATTGTATCCACAATTGAAAGCCGGCATGCAAGCGCCAGCTGAGACTGATACTAATCTGGAGCCCATACGTGAGGACAGTGAATTTGATGACGCAGTGAGTTTAATTCCCAAAAACGAAATAAAAATAATAATAACCTCAAAACTCCAACACCTTAACAGCTGAGTGACGACTCCTCTTCCGAACGTGAATCACGTACGCGCAATCACGACGCTGGTGGCGATGATGATCCCAATACCGAGGACGCTAACAATGCCAACGAATTGGCGAACACTACCGATTGGACTGAAAATGAATATATGCTCGAAGATTGCGAACCACTTGTGGCGGAGCGATCGAAAGAAGATCTGGAATTCGAACAGATGTTTGAGAAGATGGCCGCCGATAGTTATCAAGAACGCATTAAAGAGACTGTTAAGCCGAACACAAAAGACATACCAGTACCAATGATGGCTAGAACGAGCAAGAAATCTTATGAGCAAATTACTACCGCGAGCGGTAATCAATCGGGTGGTGAGAAAGAAGCGGCTAAAAATAATGCATCCAATGCTGCTGGTAACACTGCTGGTAGCGGTGGTGGTGTAGTGCCATTTGTGCTGATGGTGCGCAGCGGCAAAGGTGGCAAACAGCAATTTAAACAATTCGTGGCGCCATCCGATTCGCAATTAGCTATCAATTTGAAGCTGCAGGAGGAGAAGACACGTGAGGAGAAGGAACGTGTTAAGCGTTTAACGCTAAACATAACTGAGCGCATAGAGGAGGAGGATTACCAGGTAAGCCAAAGTCAGTAAAGTTCTGAAATATATATATAACACTTTTTTATTTGTTAAAAGGAGTCATTAATGCAATCTCAACGCAGCATGTCGCAAAATCACTATCAGCGTCCCAGCAAACCAAAATTCCGCCATCAGAAAGGCGCACCAGATGCTGATTTGATCTTCAATTAGACACCGGCGGCGAAGTTAAGTGTAATTCACACCCAAATTATGGGGTTTCCTTTACGATTGTCGCAGTGTTAAAATGTAAGTCGCAGTCTCAACTAATGCGCTTTAAATGCTGTGTGTGATAGTCTACGTTGCTCAGTGCAAGGGTAATGATGAGGTTTTGTATAAGGTTTGCGTGCGGTCATGATGACGTTTGTTGAGAAGTTTTAAAAGAACTTATTAAAGTAACTACCGAAAATGAAGTAATCTTGGATTTATTTAAAATGTATTTTGATTTCATACCGAATAAACTTAAATTATAAAAATTAGTTTGTCTTTATGTTTGACTTTAATTGAAAAATGTCAAGTTTCTTGAATATATCTGATCAAAATAAAAAGTTTTCTATACAAGAAGTTAGTATTGGTGGAACAGCTTGTATGACGGCTAGTTTTCCATACAGAACTTAATTTTGATCGATCAGCTTTTAGGACAGCTACATCCTAAAGTAGGCCGATGTGAACAATTTCTTCGTGGATAATCCACGCTGTCTTGGAAAATAATCGATGCTAAATTTCGTAAATATATCTGATCAAAATAAAAAGTTTTCTATACAAGAAGTTAGTATTGATGGAACAGCTTGTATGACGGCTATATGATATAGTAGTCCGATCTGAACAATTTCTTCGCAGATTGTAGCGCTATCTTGGATAATAATCAACGTTGAGTATCGTAAAGATATCTTGTCAAAAGTTTTCCATACAAAACCACACTACTCACCAAATGATGTACTCGTATCTTGAAAATTAATTGAAAATTGCACAGCTTCGCTTTTTTAACTTAACATTAGATTTTATTAATATTAAAATAATATAAAAAAAAAAACACACACTAAACCAAAAAATTGACAAACTTATATTTTTCTAATACAATTAAATAGCAAATAGCGTACCAACTACTCTTTATGATTAATGTTTAAGCTTGTTCTCATCAACTAAATTGTATTAATTGTTAATTTTAATTGCAAAGATCAGTACAAAATTCATAGTAAAAAGTGAATATAAATACGCCATGATAACGGGTTTTTAATAAAATATAAAAATAATACAAATAAAACTGTTTCTTTTAGCTTAATGATAATTAGGAAGAGCAAGTAAAAATAAAATATTGATTAATTGCTTGTAAGTAACGGTACAACGCACAAAAACTTCTTCATTATTGATAGAAAAACTAATCGAGTTCAAAATAGCAGAAATGCTATTAGAAAATTGCAGACAAACACAACAAAAATTTTAAATACAGTTAAAAAAATTAATTGCAGTTGAAAAAAGTAATAACAGTTAAAAAAAAACTTAATTATAGTTAAAAAAATTAATTGCGGTAAAAAATTAATTAGAGTTAAAAAAATTAATTACAGTTAAAAAAAATTAATTGCAGTTAAAAAAAATTAATTACAGTAAAAAAAATTAATTACAGCTAAAAAAATTTGAATTACAGTTAAAAAAAATTTGAATTACAGTTAAAAAAAATTTAATTACAATAAAAAAAATATGTTTTCATCTGTTTTTTTCAACTTTTCATGTTATTTTGTAAAAAAAAATTGTTGCTTTTTGGAGTTATTGCAATTTTGGTTTATTTTTGTCTTACAAATATTATTAAATAACGAAAAATGTACCAACGTACATTACAATAATCGCATGATGTGTCAATTTGTCGTACTCGGAACAGCTACTTTCAGATTGCATCGTATAATTTAATATACAAACTACATTATATACTTATAAACTATGTTAATATAATTGTTTTAATACAAAAAATAAAATTAAATACGCTGCTTTGAAAAAAAAGTACTTGACTTCTCAAAAGTACTTAGCTCCCACATTTGTTCTGTATAGTCTGTTTGCTAGTTTACTGTTGTTTTTGATACTAAATTACACGCTTAAATTTTCATTTCAAAAAATATATATAGGTTTAGTAGGCACACTTGTTGTAGTATAAATTTGTTTACAAAAAACTTTAAACTATTTTCTTATTCGTTTTGTGCTTCGTTAACAGTTACAAATTGAATTTTCGCTATAGCTATATATATATGTATATCTCTTTTTACGCAACTAGGCAATGCTTACATGTGATTTTTATAATTTTGTTATTTTTTTTTTAGGTTAGGAAGAGCTACCACGAAAAATTCTACTCTCTTACGATGCTGTATAGTTGTTTGGCTGTCTGAAGTTTGCATCTGTATATCTGTATGTGAAATTCAAAATAATCAATTTTTTTTTCTTCTAATTTGTATGTGTATATACATATCTAAACTGTATATCATTTCCAAGGCACATGCATTACTGCGCGTTAAGTTATCGCCATTCCTGCTTCAAATCTGTATATATATATTTGTATATGTATATATTAATGGCAGTATAGGGTTGAAAATTATCCTCATTAGGCAAACGTTAGCACACAAAAACAACAACTAAGTGCATTTATAGAAATTTCGACTGTCTAAAAACGCCTAAGCCAAATGCTGTTTACTTATAAAAATTTCAGTTCAGTGCTTGTATTGTTTGCACAGCGTCACAAATAGCTGTTGCTCGCATACATAAGGATATACATTTAGCTTTATGTTTTGTCTTATTTTAAAATATGTAGGTTTCATTTTTCACATATAAATACGCAGCTCCTGTTAGAAACTTCCTTTACTGTATGGCAATTAGAGAGAAATTCGTAACCCAAACAATGCAACATTGCCCAAGCAAATTCCTTATTTGTTTAGCCGTTACTGGCTACGCTCCAGTGGTGAAGCTTACTGACCGGCGTACATTGGGTTCTTGAAAGTAGATGTGGCTTGCTTGTAGATTGGATTCTCGCCCTGTAAAATACAAATAACAATTATTTTAAAGTTAATAAACATTTCCTTCTGTATATTACAAGCTTCGTGACAAATTTAATACATATGTATACCCTGTTCAGGGTATAAAACTAGTTAAAATTTTTTTATGTCAACCAACTTACCGTATCCCACTTGGCGTTCATGCGCTCCTTCTCGAAACGTGCAAACTCACGGCGATCGTGTATGGTCGTCAGTAATTTCCACAAAAGCAATATGGCTAAGCCGACTAAGACGATTGCGGCTATAACGCCCAAGACAATGCCCAACATGAACACTTTTGGTGGACATTCACGCTCCTGCTGTGCATGTACTTCGAGTTTGCCGTTCACTTCGCTATATTTAAATGTATATTTGCAGTCATCTTCGTCAAAGAATATGCAAAGCAATTCATCTTTCTCCTCATCGATAACGATTTTCTCCTCGCCAATGGGCACGAAAGTGTTGCTGCAATTGGCGGCACATTTGTCTTCATCCTTGAATTCACCGGTCTTGTACATTTGACATTGTACACAGTGTTTCAGTTCGAGGCAACGACCCGCGCATGTGGGGCACTTCTCACACACTTTGCCGGAATAACGACCTTCAGGCGTAGATTTGCATCTGCAAGAAATTTGTTTTTGTTTTACAAAGTTATTTGACATAAATTTTGTTAATTTTTATTATTATTAATTTTTCTTGCCGAGAAAGACTTACTTGCAGACACCACATTCACATTCGCCATTTCCCGAACAAAGTTCGCCGCCATTTGGTGGCATGCAGGTGTCAGTCGATTCACGGCAATCACATGCCGAACCTGTCCAACCTGGCTTGCAAACACAGTGACTACACTCGCATGTGCCATGATCAGGTCCAGAGCACAGCACATTCTTACGACGTTCACACGAGAAGTTATCACATTCACAGAATTTGCCGGAAATAATTTCCTCGGGATTGGATCGTTTCTCACATTCGCACACGCCACACAAGCAAGTGCCACGATTATTACAATCCACCTGTGTGGTATTGTCCGCACGACACACCAAATCCTTGTCGCTGCCAGTATGCACATCACTCGTTGAACACTCACAATTGTGACCGAAATGCATATCATCACACTCGCAGACGCCACACATCAGTGTACCGTGATTGTTGCATTTGGGTGAGTGTGCTTCGTAGCCGGTGGTGCCGGGACGTTCGCATGGACAGGAGCAAAGCATTTCCAAATCGATAACCAGACTCTCATTAATGCCAACCGGATAGATTTGTATGACTTGATTCCATTCACGCGGATCCGTTGGGCAAGATGTGACCAAAATCTGTGCAGTGAAATTAACCACATCGCCAACTTTGAGACCGTCACACTTGGCGGTCGGTATTTCGGGGCCGCCATTTAGACAAGCTGAGTGATAAGTGATTTTTATATTGCTTGTGGCGTTGTCCTTCATTTCAATGGCAGAGGAAATTTTCTATGAAACAAACAAAGAAGGAAAAATAGTATTAAATAAAAAATAATTTAAAAAAAAAGCTAATATTTTTTTTACTTACGCTATATTCAGAGCGCACCAAATCGACAACGTTCGAGGAATCCTCCGATAGCACCGCGCTTGAAGAACCCTCAATATGATGCGCTAGCTTCTCATATACCGAATGCTGATTAGCGGTAACTGCGAAAATAACGTTAATTGAATTCTGCTTGACCTTGTGGTTGATTTGTGAGATGCTGGGGTAATCTTGTATGACGGAGTGTGTGTAAAGACCTTCGCCGCTCAAATGACATTCGCCATCGTTGGGTGCAATCACGCCACCAAGCTGAGCGTAAAGAAAACATTTTTTTTTTTTTAATTACGAAATATAAAAAGCTCAGTTTTAAGATATTCATACCTTGCCATCACCGGCATAATGGAAACCAGCATCCGTTGAGAAGACGAGCAGACGACGCGCTTTTTCACGCCAACCGATTTGCTGACGGCAAACAATTGCCTGCATAATAGCATCGAAACCACCCTCAGGTGCATCCAAATTACCGGACACAGCAGCACGACTCACTTCAGACTAAACAAGTCCGTTAGATGAGGAGAAGCAGAGGATTAGTTTAAGTTATAAGATTTTAACAGAGAAATGTTAACTATGTTTCTTTTAACATTCTCTGGTTTTATAGGCTTTATTTTTTGCTGATGGTACACTCTTTAGAGAAAATATTTTGAAAGAATTAGTAGTCTTACAAGGCATAAAGAAATTAGAATATATGTACACCCCTATTACGTAAGGCAATTTGTGTATAATTAAGGTATAATGTCCAGGCTACTATATCTGTATGTATTACGTATGTCTCATTACATAAATCTAACATTTCATTATAAAACTGACATTTCATGGAAATATAGTTGAGCTAATATCGTTTAATTTTCTGAGATAGAGAAATAACTTCAAGCATAATAATTGTGGTAAGCGCACAGTTAGGAATTTTAAAAATATATAAAATTTAGTAAAATCTATATTTGCATTTGACTACAACCCATTTGTCAAAACAAAAACGCATACCAATTCAACGCCCTAGCAGCTTTATCAACGTTGAGATAAGCAGTGCCATGATGTCACAGTAAGCATTTTTCTATTTCAGGGGTTTTATTTATCAAATGGCGTGCAAAGTAAATATATAGATAAAAATTCACACAAGGAATTTCACTGTTTGCGATGGACTCGAAACGAAAAGCGTGAAATCGAATTGCTTTTCAATAGGAATTTGTATGTGAAATGCGAATTCAATACATGGAATGTATTTGTATGTAATATGCACTCCATTTCTATAGAAAGAAACAAGAAAAAAATATAATCTCGCGTTTCTGCATTTCTTATAGCATAAAAGGGAATATAAAGATTTTTATATTGATTTTTATTGGTCAGCTTGTATGACAGTTATATTATATAGTGGTTCGACCTGAACAATATGCTCGGAGATTGTACCGTTATCTTAGACAGTAATCCATGTCGAATTTAGTGAAGATATCTTGTCAAAAAAAAAGTTTCCTATACAAAAACTTGATTTTGATTGCAGTTCGCTTCCTTTCGGTGTTACAATTTTTATGGCAAACTTAAACATGTTTGGGGTATAAAATAATATTATATAAAATATTTTAAACAATCCTAGAGATAATTACAGATACAAAACGAAAAGCTGATTGGATTTCTTTATCAGTATTTGGGAATATGAAATGAAATAATGAGATCTTTAAAACTATAAAAATATACGGTTACATTATTAATTATAAATTTTAATATAGAAATTAGGTAAATTATGTTTTTTGTGTACCTTTTAGTAAAAAATAAAGAGTATTACTCAAGTTTTTAACATTATATGTAAACCTTTTAACTATTTACAAAAAAAAACTATTTTTATAAATTTTAAATTTTTAACCAAATTAATGACTAATAGATTTTTTCACAAAGAGTGTACCATTTTTAATAAATAAGTGAATAAATATTTAAATATAGCAGAAAAGCTTTTAGTTTAGCGAGGAGAAACTGTAGTAACGCATGCCACCACCTACCAGCCAAACAGTTTACATGCAAATTTTAGAGTAAACACCCACGCCAAAGGAATTAGTATGCCAACATAATTTAGGAAAATAATTCTAGCATGCAAATTAAGTACTTTTATGCTGACTGACAGAGTTCATGATTTTATAAAATTGAAAAAAAAAAAAAATTTTAAGTATAAAAAAAATTTAAAAATATTAAAAAAAAAATTATTTAATTTAAATAAAAAAACGTTAAAAACAAATTTTAAAATAAATATTAATACAAATTTTCACTTCAGGGGTGTTTCAATAAGGATTATACATATTCAATTTTTTTTAGCGATAAGGTGATCAACGTCTTCATATATGAATGTACATAATTGTCTGTTATTGACCAGAAATAAAAAAATGTTAATGCCATTTTTATAGTTTTTTTGTTTTCTTTGTAAATTTAAATATATTTAGAATAAAAAACGAAAATGTATTTAAATTTACATATTTTCGCGTTTGCGAGTTTCGTTTTCACATAGAGCCAATATTGCAGAGTTGATTTTGGGAAATTGAAATTAAAAATTTAATATCTAATTTTTAATATAATATTTTTGCAACACATTTGCAACACTGTTATTGGCGCACCCTATATGTAAGTCTAGTTAGCATACAATATTTTATTTATTTTCTATAGCATTTCGAATTAATTATTATAATTTTAATTGAATCTCTATCAGTCAGTTTTCTGTTAAACTTACAACAACAACTTACAGAAAATCGATATGTATCCGTGTTTAAAGCCATAACATTACGATAGCCATATGGTGCAGTACAATTCGTACATGGATGTTCCAAGCTACATACATATATAGTATGTATGCATATGTATATATATTTTAATTTAGATCACATATGGTTAGCGGTAATTTTGTACGTATGTATGCACGAGCATATTGAAAATAGTTGAGATACATAATTTTACGAAACATTCAAATGTGAACGAAATAGAGAAAGAGATACAAAAGAGATAATTACAAAGACTTTTTTTCTGGTTAATGCCAATAATATTTTGTAATATAATTTAATTAGCTATATTTAACTTAAGTCCTCCAATATGTAATTATAATTTTTTTACAAACTTATGTTAAACAATTTAGAATGAATAATGCTAAGTGACTAAAGCAAGTGTAGATATATAGAGATATGTATAAAACAATTAAAATAACAAAAAAATATAATATATACATATATAAAATATACAAAAATGTGCAATAGTACACTGAGTGTCAAAATATTGCATATTGCTTTAGGTAATAATTTTTCAAAATTCAGCACGTGTGCGCGCTGATAATAAAAAGCAAAACTTGCTTTACAATCATTTTTTATAATTTGTAATATGCAATGACATTTTGACACTCAGTTAGAGACATACATAATTCACATGTACGTTGGTGACCAACTGTTGCCACAACAGATCGTGCCCAAAAACAAACACTTATTTACGTAAATATGTATGTATTAAAATATATGTATTATAAATGGTTAATGCGTGCAAATTGACATAAACCATAAACTTCTCATGCATAGCAAATCAGCTGAAAAATCAAAAGCACAAAGTAGAAAGTAGAAAGAAAACCAAACCACCATATAGCAAGGCAGTGTGTATAAAAAAGAACGCGTTAATACAAATATATAGTGGAAATTGAAAAAATATTACTACCATGACAGCATAAATTGGTTAGGTCTGCCCAAAAAACCCAGAAATTAGACAACATTCATGCTAATATTGCTGATGCACTGCGGTCAACAGCAAACACAAAAAATAAAATTAATGCAAAAACAAAAATAAATGACTAAACAACAAATTACATTCATACAAACATAAACGAGTTTAAATATATGTAGGCACGAGATATAAAAAAAAGATATACAAGCAGATGTGCAATAAGCAAGCAGAGTAAAGCAAATAAATCTAAAAGAATGAGGCAAATATACGAAATAATTCCAAAGCATTTCTTCTTACAGTGAACGTTGAGGTATTGGTACTCAGAGGCATATGGTTGCGGTAACCGTACGGTGCCTCACAGCCATCGCAGGGCCTTTCGAGTCTGTTGTTTGTTGTTTTCATTTTTTGATTAGAGTTGTTGTAATTGTAGCAAAATGTGGTTGGTAGTTGGTAATTTGCGTTGTTATTGTGAATTTGGTGGGAGGTAGTTGACATTTTTTTTTTATTGTAGTTTGTTGTTGTTACAGCGCATTAATAACGTTTGGGTTTGTTGTGGTAAGAGCAGCAAGTATGAAGGTGTTTTTGCAATTGATGCAAAATTATTGGTTAGTTGTTGTTTTTATTGTTTTTTATTTTAGTGTATTTATTTATTGTTTATTAATATTTTGTTTTAAATAATTTCCATATTTCGTGTATTTTTTGTGGTTATTCAGGAATCGAATGAAAATTTTCAAATGCGAAACCAATTTGCAATGAACGGCAAACAAAATTGCAACGGCAAATAACAGTAACAAAAGGGAACAAGAAAATCATGGTAGAAAAGATTGAAAAAATATACATTAATATTGTTATTATATTATAGTATACTAAGTAAGTGTTTTAATGGAAATAAAACTTGGATAAATTGTAAGCAAAATTATCAATTAAGTAGGTGTAATTTATTAAAAAAAAAAAGGAATGTACATATCAAAATAAAATTTCTAGTAAAAAATGCATAAGTAATTATCTTATATTAAATCTACTTTGTGTCTACGCCGTAATAAACATTTTTTTTTATTTAAAAAATAAAAATTTTTTAAAATATAATATAACAGCAACTTTTTATCCCGCCATCTGATCAAATTTGACTCAGACTGATACTTTCAACTGTGCGCCTAAACTTAAATGATAAATGTTCTAAACTAGATTCATACAACTTGTTTTTAAGCACATGTGAAGTTTGAGCTTCACATGTCAATTACTGTGTGTTTGACAGCTGTTTATTTACAACGTCAAAAGTTTGTCTCTCGATTTTTACATTGAAAACAAAACATAATTTAAGTTTTCGTGGAACATTGTGTTTTCTATGGATTCATTGAAAATGTTGCAGAAGTGTTTCGGGGAGCCTACTTCATGATTGTCTCATGCCATTCGTTTATCCAACTCTTTAAGGACGATAACGTCGGAAAAGTTAATGAAACAGTGCTTGAAAATCGTCGAGTTGACATGAAAGAAATATAAGAGGATGAACACATTTTGATTAATGCTTTGGGTGCGAATCTTTTGCAAAGTCGTTGTCGAGTAGATATCACAGTTTGTATTGCCTCAAAACCATATTTTTAAGGTATTAATATACGTGAAAAAAACGAAGTTTCTTTGTATGTTCGAGAAATATTTGAACAAATGGTGTTCATATTAAAGAAGGCACGAAGGAAAATTGTCTGATTGTCTGATTATATCGCTTACAATACTGTTGATAGGTAAACAGATGAACAATTTATAATAAACTAAATATGTAAATTAAAAAAAAAAATCTTAATAAAATTTAAGATATTTATAAACATATAAATACAACTATATTAATTAATAGTATATATAAAATTTCCTTTCATTTTAACTGAAACCAGCTTACTCACTTTTTGGGTATAGTTGAGACGTAAGGCATTAGCACCTTGTCGACAAACGAACCAAAGCCCAAACGGAAATTCGAAGTAATATTGCGCATAGTTTCCGAAAGCTTATCGCCCAAAGCCGACAGTTTGTCCTTATCGTCCTCCATAGATTTGGACAAGTCCATCAAATAGTATAAGTCGACGGGATAATCAATAGCTTGCGAGTAGCGCATATTTAACGAGTGCAATTGATCTGAAAGAAAAATGTAAATCATAATCGCGCTCTCCGAAGCAAAAATATATATTTCTTTCAAACAAAACTTACTTATGCGCAACTTGAGGCTCACACGTTGGGGACTGATTTGCACGATTTCGCCACTGGAAGCTGAAGCACCAGAGGCGGCTGCGCTACCATAAGCGCCGGCATAGGACGAACTGGACGATGAGCTACTATATGATGAACTCGCTTCGTATGAACCACCATAACCGTAACCAGCTGTGGCGCTGGCGTTACCACCACGCGTTAATTCACGATTGATAGTAAATTTTTGCTCTGTAAATGGGTTCCAGGTGTACTCCTCTTTGCAATAATTTTTTAAACTATTTTTGAAACAACGTGGTAAATCTATAAAATCGGGTTCCATGCACCAAGCGCAATTTTGTGTTTGTATGCAATCATGGCAGGATGCCTTGTTCACACATGGATCTTGTATGACTTTACCGGCGAGTTGCGCCTCAACTCTAAAAATGCTACTGCAGGCAAATAATGTGGTAAATAACAGAGCCACCAGCCGTTTGGTGGCAGACAGACGGCAGGGATGTGCTAACATGTTTGGCTATAGTTGTCAGAAGCTGTTAAAAATAAAGTAATTGTTTAGATAATGTGATACACTGGCATTAACCGATATAGATCCGTTATTTAATATTTTTTTAATCAAATAATGATAAACATTTTTTAGTTTGAACTTTGTCACACTTATTTTATCATTTTACTTAATAATTTAATATAGAATGATTCAATCGATGAAAATGGGAACATGGTGTCACTTTTTTAAACGATTAGAACCAACTGCTATTCCAAGAGTAAGCTGACGCATAAGTAATACACGAAATACACTGACTTTTGGAGAATCATAGTATATACACATTTATTTAAAAAATAGAAATTAGTTAAATTTGAAACCCAGATGTTTTATTTAACCACAATAAAACGGAACCTGAGATTATGTATTTTTGTTACATAAAATTTATAAATTATTTATTCTTTGAAAATACATTATAATTAATTCATTTATATAAGGAGAAATTCATATATCGAAGTATATGAGAGGAACTTTAGAGAAATTGGCAATTAAAAGTTTTTATTTACTTTTAATGTCTATTTTTCTTTATACGCTAGCGTTGCTGACGTTATTCGATGCTGCTTTTGTTGATTTGGTTGAGACACTCAGCACGAATTCGTATGAATCAAAATGTGAGCCAAAATGACTCATCTGCTATGAGCAGTGCTACATACATACATATGTATATGAGTTAAACGAAAGGTAGGTAGTGTCCAAGAAAATGAAATCACACAGTAAACATAAAAAAAAACTTTGAGAAATTCTACATACATACATATCAACATATTTATGTATAAACTGAAAGGAAGGCTGATAAATAAATGTACAATGTACGAAATATACAATGCACACGCACAGTCGAACATATAAATTTTACAATAAACAATTACGACAGTCCCGGCACGATAACGCCGTCTGAAAGTGTGACGAATAGCAAACCGCCTGTATATACTGGTATTGGAATCGTGCTTTTGCATTATAAATGGATTTTCAATTAATACAATGGGTGCGGGTCTAAAGAGGAAGTGTAATTGTATCTAAATAAAGGCAGGTCAACAAAGTGCTAATAGCACGCAAAAGGGATATCTACATATGTACGTGTGTATATAAGGGACTACATAGTGCGGCGCCTATTGACGCCAACTCAATGACTGACATTAAAATAAAGAAGACGTATTGAATTTAAAAAATACTGGTTTCCGTAGTTTTAATAATGGCTAAACTAGATCTACGCGAAAATACAGTTTGACAAACAAAAACATTAGCAAATACTTGCCAAAACAATTTATGAACAATTTAATAAGTGTATGTAAAATTTATACATACATATACAATATCAAAAATAGTGTCGAGAGGTGTTTATAACAAACCATCTAAGTGAGATCCGTATACCGTAGATATTGTAGACTGCAAGGCTCAAAAGTTTAAAAAGATAACATCCCAGGATTGTATTTTAACCTCAATAAATAATTCTTTTTGCAGTTTAAGAGTTCATAAATTTTATCCTTAACATAATTTTAAAGTACATACGTAAATATTGAATATATGTATGTACATAAACCAAAAACATTGAGGGCATACATATGTATGTGTCTCCTTTCAAAAAACTGAGGCGATGATGTTGGCGCTAGTGGGTTGTATTGGCTATATTTAGCCCACGCATATACAACAATAAGAGCAACACCAACACTCAATTCAAAAACAGCAAATAGCATTGGAGGTACAAAACCAAGAAACTGTGATTAGCGTAAAGTAAGAACAACAACATTGGTAAAATAAATGAGTATCTTATATTGACGACAAACCAATATTCATTCACGGCGACTACGAGATTTTTTGTTTTAATAGACGAAACTCAAAAATCTAGCAAATACAGATATGTGTATGGGTGTATGTTTATTGTGGGCGTTTGTTAACTTGTTCTATATTGTTCATATCATGCACCAGCGCTGAAACTAGCCAATATAAAGGAGTTGGGAATGGGGAGTGGCACTGTTTTCTTATGCATTTATATCTTCCTTGTGCATACAAACGCATGCATGTTTAAATGCAGTGGTATTCTAACGATACGATGACTAATAATTAGTAATTCTGTAGCACAAATGTCTAGGTTTACTTATCAAATCAAGTTTTATTGATGATGCCATATTGGAGTCACTGGAGTTTCTCCGCTATTTGTGTCAACATTCGTTCTTTGTTTTCTCATTTTATAATTGTTTCACTACCACTACCACTTTTTATCGAATTTTTCATGGCTTTCAACTTGAGTTGCGAAATGAATGAAATCACCATTTTTTTATTGTGTATATAAAAGACCGCAAACTTAAATCTTTACATAATTATAAAGACCATAGTATTATTTATCACTTACACTTCTTATTAATATGGAATATTTGCTGATTTTTCGTCGATTCTACTGTATTTAATTATATTTTATTTCCATCAGGGGCTGATATACACCAAATATTTTATACACGAATAACACCTCCAACAAAACCCAACCACACTCGTCGAAATTTTCGAATAATCTGATCAGCGATGGCAATTTGTTGCTTCGAAAATATATTTTTCCACAGGGTTGCACTCAAAATGTCATTGTTTTACTCTAGCAACCAACTGGTATAGACTATTAAATTTTGCGCAGTCAATAAATGTTGTAAATTGTTCAAATATATAAGTTATAGCTATATGCATACTTCAAAAAATTATACTTAAGTTAAACCCCAGTAACTGGTTATTTGCAAATTTTGAATTCAAGGACAAATTAATTCACATAAGTAACTGGTTATATACAAATTTTGAATTTAAGGACAGATTCACATAATAGAAACAGTTATTGATTATCTTCATAACAAATACAAGTCTTTTGAGGTCATGAAATAAAATCTTTGGCTGTACTTTTTTTTATTAAATTTTTACTCATATTAATATTTTGAACAAAGTTACATTGAGGAACGCGAAATAAATTAAAGAATGACACATTATATCGAACGCATTATTATAAATGTGCTATATAATAAACAGTGTTTTTGAGCACTGCAGAAAAGTCAAAAATCCTTTTTCTTTATATTTAAATCATTTTTTAATTGAAAGAGTAATAAATCTTTTTCAAAATATTATGGGTCCAAAATAGAATATAGTTTCAGTTAAATTTAACAAATAATAATTTAGTACGTCTAAAACTCAGGGTTGTTTTTTACGTATGCTGATATAAAATGTCATAACACCACAGCAGCCCTATTTGGTTCGTCCAAGAAGTTTTTTAAAGTGTTTTTGGGCAGCCGAGTTCGCAGTGCAAGAACGAATCGCAGAGAAATGCAAAAGAAACATTAAATAAATCTATAGTATTTAACAAATTAACCAGTACCTAACAATAAATTCTAAATATTTCTTTAGTTATAAACAAAAAACAAGTGTGAATTGATTATCTAAACCGTCAACCGGTCGGAAAGTTGTGTGTGAAAAAATTTCCTTGCTTTTCGCTCTCTCCATGCATTCGCGCATTCGTATCCAGTCCGCGCGGACCTTTCAACCGAAAGTATTTTTTCCCCTCCTTTTTCGCTGCTCTGCACAATTCCAACGTCGACAAAGGTAATGGCAGCAAAAGCAAAGTCAGCAAACGCGCTGCTTCCAGTGTCAAAATGAATCGAGTGTCGTCGACGTCGTTGTTGCTGGCGTTAAGTGAATGTGAAAGAAGAATGGAAAAGTGCACATACAAATATTGAATTGAAGCGAATGATAGCAGAAGTGTAATAATTGCTAGCTGTGCAAAAAAGTTTCCATATATAAATTCTTTCTACAGTTCTGTATATTTCTGTTGTCGTAGCAATAATTACATATATTGAATGAAAAGTTCGAATCATGTAAAAAGTGCTTGTGTAGTTAGATACAAATAAAAATATTAAATGTGTATTGACGTTGATATATACGAAACAGATCAAAAGTTTAGTGAAGGAGGAAGCAAGTTAAAAGTGCAAATGTGAATGTGTGCCGCAAGTCAGGCGAAAAATGTCCAAACGTCCCCCAATTGTCAGTGGCTAGGTCGTCGTCGTAGTCGGTCGTTTCGACATCTCCATATCCTCAACTTTTCGACGTCATAGCGTGACATTTATCAACATTTAGGTTCGGCATTGGCGCCTTCTTATAATAGAACGCTCAGTTTAACGCGGTTGCAACTTTCTTTTGCTGTGTTGCAAGACGTATGCTTCGAGTACCCCAGTATTGAAGTGTAAAGTTTGCTGTGTGTTTGTACTTGTTCTTGCCACCGTGGAAATTTTTGGCAAACTACCTTTTTTAAAACAGGATCGCAGATACAACGAAGTGTCCCTTCAAATCCTAAGAAATAATAATGAATCAACGGAATAAACAATATAAATTGTAAATATAGAATCAATTGTAAAGGTATGTACCTAATTTAACATAAAAGAATATGCATAAGACCTATGTTTATAATTTTTGTTATTTTAAAGAGTTTGTTTGCGGCAACTTAGCACCGCATATCACCATATTTACAAAAAATGGTTTCCGTGTAAAGATTTTTCAATTTTCTAATCTGCTCTTCCCTTAAATTTGCTTTTTTATTATTGATTATCTAACGTTAACTGATACTAAGCTGCTTGTTGCATACATACATACATACATACATATAATATAATATACAGACTATTTTCTTGTAAGAGTAATTGTATTTTACGTTCATGGATAGTTGCTAGTAATAAAATCGGTAATAAAGAAGATAGAAAAACAGCAATCAACTGTAAATTGTATACGATGATGGACTTTGGAATAGATGCCGCAGTTTACACGATATATTTGTACATATACATATGTATGTATTTGAAGCTGTCCGAGTGCTCCAGCTCAGTGCAACTCGATTCGGTCTTTGTTGATTACCTTTCTTTGTTTTATACTTTTGTAACATATTGTCTGTGCTAATAAATCATTCATTCCGTACATTTGCATGCACATCTACGTATATACCTATGTATGGACCACATGTATAGTTTCTGTCCATCTTCACATCAACTGTGCAGCGGCTCTACATGCTACAGTTGATTAGTTCGTCTGTTGAAAATCACGCGGTATATTGTACCGTGCAGCTGTGCGATACAGAGACACCAATTTGCTACCTAAGCATATACCATAGTTACTGCAACTAAGACCAATCCAAGGTTTTATATAATATTTTTTATGGACAGCTCCACGACTTTTACTAATTCAATAAGTTTATGGTAATAATAATACAAAATATTGCAAGTTTTTGTTTTATTTCTTTCTTTTTCTATTGACGTGTAATAATGTGTGTAGCTTAAAATTCGTTCTTGTCAAGTTGTAGTAATTAGATTTTTTTGTTTTGTAATTATTTATTATCATATGTTTTCGTATACCGTGATATAATTCTGCAAATTATAAATATAAATTTTATAATAACGTCTGTTACCCACCTGCTTATATACATATGTATATCTATAGCTGTAGGAAATAAGTTGTGAATATTGTATAATTGCAGTAATGCATATACTGTTCTAGGTTTAAAGTGACTTCTGGCAGTTTTCAAAATTAGTTACAACGATTGCCAATTGTAGATTCTCCCAGATATTTATGTTTATAATTTAATTTTTGAGGCACGTTTCTATAATTTACGCTTCAGTTTTTAATCTATGTAAATTTGTAGGTGTGTACAACTTGTAATAAGAGCTTATCAATACAGTTACCTTTGTAATTTGAAATTATAAATTGTTTTGTGTCCAAAGGCTCGTAACAGCGCTATAATTTGAATAAAAGCTTAGCTGGATATAGAATTATTGCAATTGATGTTACTGGCGGCAGTGTATCATAAACAATATGCAATTTTGAATGTACAAATGTTTGTAAACACATAAATTACTAAATGATTAAAGGCCTTGACATCATTACACGATTTTAGCCGAATATCACCAGTGAATGAGTAAACGCAAATAATTTTAAACTTTTCAGTTGAGAAACTGGACAGAAATGTATGCACAAAAACAGCATACTCAAGTAAATGCTGTTGCATTAAAGCGTTGTCGTTTTGCTGCCAAAAATACGACGAAGATAGTCAATAATTTTAAAAACGTTCGAGCGCCAGCCCAACCACCCGCTGCCTTAAAGGCGCGTTCACTTCTATGTCGATCGATATTTGACTGCCTACGAGCGTTTGTGCACACAAACATATACACATTTGTGACAAATAGGAAACAGCAAAAAGGTAATGCCATTAAGTGCCTATATGTAGGCATGTACATGTGTACCTGCCAGTCTCAATGTCTGTGCCACTTTGACGCCGCTTCCTGTGTAACCTTCAGCCATTCTGACACTTGCTTAGCTTTGTCGCCATCATTATTATCATTGTCAAAGCTCTAGCGCGCAACTACTATGCTGACGCTTACAATGTACAACAACAAAATTTTAGTCAAAACAGCCAGCGCCCAACACTCATCACCCACCCTTCAATGCTACACATAAATGTGCTGCACACACACATAAACACGTAGGCTAAACTTATGTAGTGTGTTGCTGTTGTTTTGGTAGTTATGGCGACGACTATGGCTACACTGCCCGTTAATGTTGTCCTCCAACGCACAATTCCGTTTCACCCTCGCTTCAGAACGACATGACGTTATGCTGGTCACCCCTACCCCCACTGGCGCCAAACTAACGCTCGCTCATTTAAAACGCAAAATGTTATTAGCTCGCTTACGACGTTTGTACTTGCCATACTTAAAAATCCTTTTGGCCGCCATTCACTGGCACAATAGTGTCAAACACAACAGCAACAATAACGACAACGCTCACTATAAAGTACGCATAGTCGGTCGGTTGGCAGAGCGCAAGAAGGGCAGATAGCATGTGCTTATGTAATGTGAATGTCTTTGCTGGATTCGTCAGCTAATGGACATGGTTGAAACTGGTTAGCTGGTTGGCCTCAATGTGGCTTACTAGGCTGGGAGGAAAAAATCTCGTCCGGCCTTTACCTTTCAAGGAAGAGCGCAAAGCTGAGACTGACACCAGCAGCGGCAGAAAAATAATGATTTCTGTTACAACAAATTGTAAAAGAAATTTTTTTTATAAAAACTGAACAAGAATAACTACTTCAGGCCGTGTGCGTCTGGCCAAGTACCACCAATAAGAAGTGTCCAAACAGTAGTTGTTGTTGCTGTAGCGGCAGAATTATGCCGAGTTGTTTAATTTTTGGTCCAACGGTGTCTATTGGCACCACTAAAAAAAAGCTGCTTTTTATACGCTATATATGCGTATTGGTCTCCCGGCTTTTGAGATATCGATCTAAAATTTTGCACACGCTCTTTTCTTCCCATTAAGCTACACATTTGTTAAAACTGCCAATATATCATCATTATAGCTTATAGCTGCCATACAAACTTATCACTTAAAATCAAGTCTTCGTACGGAAATTTTTTTATTTGACAAGAAATCTTCACGAAATTTGGCATAGACTACTGTCCAAGACAATCTCCGAAGAAATCGTTCAA